CAAGGAGATTTCCTGATGCTGCCAAGTGACTGAAACAAGCTGGGGCTTTCCAAAATTGCCACATTTCAGAGTGTGCTTGAACTGTAGGATCCTCAGACACGTGTGACCTCAGCAGGTGTCCCAAGGTGAGGGGCTGGCACTGGTGTGTGCCGCTCTCGGGTGTGATGGGCATGAGCTGGTGCAGCTGTAGGGCCCTGGATCCCACAGCAGGCACACTCCTCACAGCTCTGTGTTCCCTATAGAGCCCTGGATCCCACAGCAGGCACACTCCTCACAGCTCTGTGTTCCCTATAGAGCCCTGGATCCCACAGCAGGCACACTCCTCACAGCTCTGTGTTCCCTATAGAGCCCTGGATCCCACAGCAGGCACACTCCTCACAGCTCTGTGTTCCCTATAGAGCCCTGGATCCCACAGCAGGCACACTCCTCACAGCTCTGTGTTCCCTATAGAGCCCTGGATCCCACAGCAGGAACATTGGTGTCCTCACAGCTGTGTGTTCCCACGTGGCCACACACTTTTATTTCTGTCCTTGGGAAAACCAAAGGGGAGAGGATGTGCTGGTCTAATCCTGAGGTTGAGCAACAGGGACAAGCACAGGCTTGTATCCCTCAAAAGCATCCCCATGCTGGGCAGCTTTGCTCAGAAGTGCAATTCTGATCCAATTATAGAATAATTTAAACTGAAAGGGACTTTTTGAAGGTCTCTAGTCCAACCTCAAGGTGCTCAAGGAAGAACTAACTTCCAGGTTAGGTGGGGTGTTTGGGGGTAGATCTCAGCTGTGTTTTGAGCTTCTGCAAGGATGGAGATCCCACAGTCTCTGTGTCCCACTTGTCTGACTGCATGCACTGAGATTCATCTATTTTTTTTCTTACTTCATATGTTATTTCCTTAGATCTATCACTGCCACAATTGTTTCTTGTTTTGCTGCCCAGCTTTTGGAGGAGTCTCCCTGTTTCTTCTCTAAGTACCAGCAGGTAGATGTAGGCAGCAAATACATCACTGTTCCAAGCTTTTTGTCTGGCTTGAACCAAACCCAGTGTTTAACGTGCTTCCTCCCACATTGGTCATCTCCATTGGACTTGCAGCATTCTCACTCGCTGCTTAAAAATAGAACTGTACAGAAATAAGGATGTTTCCTAGTGCTGCTACAAAAAGGAGAAAGATGAGTTCCAACTGCCCAAAATACAGAATTCTCTTAATATAAAAATATGACTTTATTGAATCACTAAAATGAAAGTGGTCTTTGCAAGTTTGCCATGAAAATCTGTATTTTAAAGCAACCTTCTGTTCCAAAAAAAGTGAAAATTAAATTGGCAATGGATTAAAAAAAATAATAAAGATGCAAATAGCAAGAAATGCAGCGTTAGAGTGAAGAATGAAGCCTTAAATCTGCCTTCTTGAGCATAAATTGTGTATTCTATTATATAATTTTAAATTATTTGCCATTTTGTAAAGGCCTTCATGGAGCTATAAAAATTTATGTCATCTGACTATCTGGCTCAGATAGTTGTGAACTATCTGCAACTGTTTTCCTGTCAAAAATTGCAGTATTGCAGTTCAATTTAGTTGACTTCAGATTTATTTTTTCCCTGATGTAGGTCTACCATCAAAATCAAGGCTGAAGGAAAAACTTTTTATCTAAAAATGTTCTTTAGCAGCTTGTTGGCTTTCATCTGGTTACTGGGGAGATGTGAATGTGACTCAGGGAACTGGACACTCCCAATAGTTTGGGAGGAGAAAAACCTCTCTTGCATGTGGCCTTTGTGCTCATGATGCCATTGGATGTTTCTTGTTTTTCTTGTGGGGAGGGAATTGCTGAAAGTCATCACTTTTGATCATTAAGTACTTCTGGGGATTTTTATAGCACGACTCACCATGAATTAATGTATTATCCTCAGTTTGCCTGTAACTCAGGTTCTTTTTTTGGGCTAAACTGACAATCCTTGATTTCTTACCCAATTTCTAATGCGCATTGTTAACAAGCAGGGTGTGAGTCGCAGAGGTTCACTCAAAGATTCAGGAGAGCTCAGGAGCTCTGCAGTCTGCCCAGGAGGGGCAGGATCCTGGCTGGGGGCCAGGGAGCATCTCAAGTTCTCAGCAGGCAGCTGTCTCTCTCCAGGAAAAAGTGCTCTGAGCTTTGAAGGGTAAAACAACTAAAGATTAATGCATTTAATTCAAAGGAAAAAAATAATTCTGTTTATTCCCAGAAAGGTTTGTTGTTTATTTTTCTTTTTAGCAAATGTAATGGTGGTAAATACTCCCAAACACATGTGAGCCCCCCCTGTGCTGGTCTATTAACCATTGTAGCTTCTGTTTCCCTCCAACTTAGCCTTCTGGAATATCCAAAAACTCCAGCATGCCAACCTCTGCTTTAAATAATTCATGTATTTCTTGATAGACAAAAATGTTTTTCTACCTTCAGTTTATTTTAAACTGGACTTAAAGACTGAAGGGAAAGAATGTGCCAAAAGAAATAATTCTTTTACTTTTTAAAAAAGTAGGAGTGGCATAGAAAAGAACTTGGTTTTGTTCAATGTTTAAATTATCATTTTAAGGACTGTCAGTAGTAGATTGAACTGGAATTGATGATTGACCACAAAATTCAGTATATGTACTTTGATGTTAGCTACTGGAAAAAAAAAATATGTGATGGGCCCATGTTTCAATTTAAAATTATGGAGATGGTTCTTAAATAAATGCAGAATCCATGAATAAATTGTGAATTATTTTTCTGGAACAGTGGTGTGCTTAGAAGACTGTAGCTGGAGGAATTAGTCATAAAGTTTTACCTTGAGGAGACTTGAGGGATGCAGTAAAAATGAAAACAGATGACTTCAAGCCAGGATCTGTGTAAAATAATAAGAGTATTAACAAAGGAATAGAACAGTTAATTCTGAAGGTGGAGCCCAGTCTTGAGCATTCCTTTAGTCAAATTCCCACATGATTTTTCAAACTGAATATGCGAAATGCAAGAGAGAATGACTCTACTCACCATTTCAGGATACAGACCTGAGCAGTTATAAAAATAGACACTTTTAATTCAGAAGCCTTATCTTGGAGTTGTTTTTTTGTGGTGTGGTTTTGTTTGGGGGTTGTGTTTTTGTTTTTATGACCTAGAGTTAAGTCGTGTCCTGTCCGTGATCCTTTGGCTGCCCAGCATCTCCTTCACTGTGGAAAGGTGATTTGGGAAAATTGTCATTTGGAAACATTATTTTGATTTAAAAGCTGTGTTTTGGAAAAAATATTCTGAAGTATTTAGAAACTTTCTAGAGATCTTTTTTTTTTATTATTGACACCATTTAAGTTGGAAAAAAATAAACGGTCCAGTGACCACTTGTTCATTCATCTGCATGTGCAGCTGCAAAATTATTTTCTGTGCCCATCGTGCAAAACTTCTTCCTAAATAAGAGGTTTACAGACCCTCTGGGAGTAATTAACTACAATGCAGAGGCAAATCTGGGTTCATTGTAGGAACTGCTCATTTAAGAAATATTTTTGTGCACAAAGCCCATTATCAAGGTTCCAAAACCTTCATTAATGTTAAACATTTTATTATAGGACTCTGAGCACTTCCTATTTAAATGAAATCTAATGTAATCTCATTAGTTACATCTAGCTTTTGATACCTGGACCACAGCAAATTGCTGTGTCAGATGTGTGCCACAATGCATTCAACAGCTAAAATCTGGCTTTTATTTTGATGTTTATTTAACAATGATAGCTCTTTTCCTGTGGGCTGCACAAAAAGTTGAGGATGTGTTCAAAAGAAGTTACCTGCTATTGATTTTATTCTACATACTGTTCCACTTCCATACCACTGCTCCACCAAGTGCTTTCCTCCTGTGCTTTCAGCCCTGTGCTGCACGTGGTTGTCAGGAGCTTAACTCCAGCTCAGTGGAAGTGCAAAGCAAAGCTGCTGGTTTTCACCAGTTGTACAGGATTGGCAGTTAAAATTATTGAGTTCCCAAGGACATGATTTAACCAGGACTGGGGATACATGCCCTCAGCTTCAGTGGGTGCAAGCATGTGCCTGAAGTCAAGAGTACATTTAATTTACCAAATTAGCTCAAAGCATGAGGCTGAAGGACTTCAGAAGCAGCAGCATGATGTTCTCTGGCCTGTGTTACATGGGCACTCAGGTTATAATCACACTTGCCCTCACTGTCAGCTACTTTGTGAAGTAGCACAAATCATGTGAGATGCTGTGAGGAAATCTGTCCCCCCAGTGTGTGTGGGACGAGGGTGTTGGGACAGTGGTCCTGAGCAGACTGCTGGGATTGGGCTCACTGGCCTGGCTGTGTGCTCATGGCCAGCAGGAAGCAGTGGAACAAAAACAGATGAAAAGCAGAAATAAGTGCTCAGTTTTTATGAAAGCTTGCCCTTTTTTTTCCTCTTAACTCTTTGTTGTCTGTCTTGTCCAGGAGGATCATACAACATTTACAACTCATACAACATCATACAACTAATAGATACTGTTTCTTAGCCACCATTCATTTCCCACGAGAAACCAAACTACAACATTTGTTATTGTAGGAAAGTTAATCATTTAGATCTGAGGGTTTTTACATCACCTTCATTTTAACTCAGAATATGTAAAATATATCCAAACCCTTCCATTTAAGGTGATGGATTACCCTGTGCTTGGCTGCGCTGTCTGGATTGGTTGGAATTTTTTGCAATTACTATTTTACACAGCATCAGAGTATCTGTGAAGTGGATATCAATTGAAACATATTTTGTTCTTCAGACTTGCTTTTGCAGGTTTCACAAAACATTTAATTAGTGATAATCAGCTTTTAACCAGCCAGAGCACACCGATGCCTCTCTCCCCCATGATTGTAGGCATAGTCTGTACTCCTCAGATAAATTACTTGCAGTCTGGATAATGTCCTAGCCAGCAGGAAGGGGAAGAATAAAGATGTCAGTTGCATGGGGAGTAAAGAAGGTGTTGTGTATACTGTGGTTTCAGTGAAGAATATTCTTCTCCTTTACTTTTCAGAATGGTGAACTTGGAAACCAGCTGGAGATTGCAAAGTCTCCTTTCCCTTGAGGTTGGTGGTCAATGGTCGTCATCTACCACACCTAAGGACACTAGAAGAGCTCCACGCTAACTTCTGTAAGGTCTGCTTCACTATGGAAGATCAAATGATTTTCTGGCTCAGGTTTCGTGATGTTCGGCATCTGCCTTGGACCTGGAATTTGGAAAAGGGATCGTCTCTGAGGCACGGTTAAAAGACAGAGAAACCAGCCCCAGACAATGAGCACTTTAAGTAGCACTGGAATATTACTCAGCTTAACAACAGTGTCTGTTACACTGGATTTTAGTTTGCACAGTGGTCTGATGGCTTGGTCCTTAAGCAGCAATTTGACTCTGAACCAGAGTTTGCCTACATCTGATCCTCTCAACACCTCTGAGAAGGGCGAAGTCTCTCGGATGTCCGTGAGGGAGAAGAATTGGCCAGCCCTCCTGATCTTGGTTGTCATCCTGCTGACCATTGGGGGGAACATACTGGTAATTATGGCTGTGTCCTTGGAGAAGAAGTTGCAGAATGCCACAAACTTCTTCCTGATGTCGCTGGCAGTAGCAGACATGCTGGTGGGTATCCTGGTCATGCCCGTGTCGCTCATTGCAATCCTGTACGGTAAGTGCCTTCCCTCCTAGTTTGAATATTTGCTTTTGCAGGGAGTCCCCCGACGCTGCAGCAGCCTGTTGTGCCCGATTTTCCCTGTGCTGGTAGCTTGGGGAGTGTCCGCGTGTCCTTGGTCATGTGTCTGTGCTGAGGTTTGTTCTCTGCTGGGAGCAGAGCTTGTGTCCCTGCTGCCAGGAATGACCTGTGGATAACGTCAGGCTGGGGGGTTCTGATTGCTGAGACCACCAAGAGGATCTGAGACAGCAAGTCAGCTTTTTACCTTTTGTTTGGATTGCCCCAAAACTGATCTAGGACACAAAAGCTCACAGAAAAGCTGAGGAGAGAGTTCATTGCTCATGACCTACCCAGCTCTAAGCCAGGTCAGGATCTGTCCTGGAGCTCCCACTGCTGCCATCAGTGGGATTTGAGCACAAATGGGGATCAGAAAGCAGGTTTGCACTAGTAGATTTGGCATTCAGATAAAAACCTTCACTCCTGGCGTTTGTACCTCAGCTTGCCTTGTGCCTTCCAGGGGGTTATGCCTTTCAGTGCCTCAGTTTCCCTACCTCTAACCTGAGAATATGCTCTGTTTTAAAGCACCCAGAGGCCTGCCTGTACAGGTGTAAACATTTATTTCTCCCCATATTAGGGTCAGTGTGTTTGCGATGGAGTGGGGTATCTTTCCTGTATTCAAGTGTGGAATCACTGTTAGCACTTCAAAGAAGTAAAATATCAAATACATCTAACTTTCATCTAGCTGAGACTCCAAATCCCTTTGTTCAGTATGGTACTAGGAGTCTCCATCCCTGGACATTTCAAAGGGGTATTTTGTTCTTTGTATCTCTGATCATCATGTTTGTATACTCATGTATCAATTTTATAATCTGTGTATTTCAAAGACAAAACTTGTTAATTTTTGAAGTCTCTTTTCAGATTTTCCTAGAATGGTATTTTAATATCAATATTTCTTGGAAACAAATGCTGTTTACTTACAAATTTGATTAGAAATTGGTTTACTGTCCTATAAAGTAAAACATAGGGATATTTATCTGACTTCTTCACCTGCCTAAATGAGTAAGTAAGTCTGACAGAGATTAATTTCTAAAGCACATTGATCAAGCATACATCATTCCAAAGCTTATATAACTTGTCCACAGTGAGTTAAATCAATATGTGATTTAGGTACAGGCCTAGCTATGGAGATCTTATGCACAAAAATCTTTTATTTTGAGCTGTCAGAATAGTTTCATCTCTAAATCTTGTGTGTATTACAACATGTGTATTTTATTTTTAGCATTTTACTCCAGCTCCCTGGAGCTTGAAAGGGAGCATATAAATACTGAATTATGTGACAGACCTCCACTTGCATAAATTCTGTGTTAGCCAGTGACTCTAAAAAGGTGAATTTATGGAAGTGGTCTTCCTACATTCATACTTTCAAGGTCTTTGGAAACTAATAGAAATGGATTTTCTGTTCTGCCTAGAAAATGATTACTTAAGGTAGTTTAAAGGTGTAAAGCATGCCACCCTTTTCACAGCAAGGAAATATCACTGATTTGAAGAGGCATTGTAATTATTCCCCTTTTTTGCCAGAAAACCAGTACTGGCTGTTGATAGCCCAAACATTTCCCCACAGAAAAACAGTACTACATAGATTTTTTGGCAAAAACTGTAATTTCAGGACAGGCATGGAAGATTTGTGGAAAAACTTTGAGAAATTAAGCTGCTGGGGCAGTGCTGGGTGCTGGACCAAAGCAGGCATGTTGCCTTCAGGCTTTGGGAGGGAGGGAGGAGGAAAAGTTCCATTTGGGGAAAAATGAGCCCCAGAGGAACTTGTGGCTTGATCTGAGTAGGACCCCAGTGAAATACATTTTTTAATATTATTTAAGCTAGAAGTTGTGGAAGTAAGGAGGAGGAAAATGTTCTTACATCAGCAGAATGCTTGTGAGATAACGAGGGTGCATGGCCATGGACTGAGCAGGGAGAGTGTTACTGCTTGGAAACATCACTGTGAATGTTCAGTCATTTTTAGTCTGTATATTTTACCTTGTTCATGCCATACAGTCTACATAATCTTACACTGGGCTGTTTCAAAGGCTGCCATGTGCTGTGCTGAGAAGTGTATGCAGCACATCTCTTCCAGATTTGTAGAAGTCACTTTTAATTTGTGTAATCAGAAAGGAACCTTAAAAAATACATATAACAAATAGAAGAATAAAGAAATTACTTTCAAGTTTCCACATCAGCTCTCTCAGCCCCAAAGATAAATTCTGGTTGACAGAGTAACTCATTTCAGAGCAGGATCATTTCCTTACTTTCGGGCTAATAAGGTAAATGAAGTAGATTTCACTTTGAGCATAACCAGAAAATTGAATACACACCCTCCACAAATAGTTCTGGTTTTCAGTGGTTTTCTTAATTAAAAGAAGGAGAAATCAAGTTGTAAGTTAATTCAAGAGTCTTATTATAAGGGAAGGGACAGCAAGATGAAGCATGATGGATTTTCCAGCAATTAATCAGGACTTGGATATATTTATCAATTAGTCTGTAAGTGTCTTACAGTAATCGATGAGCTGCATTTGACAACTGAGAACATTTTCCCTGGCATGCAGTTCCTAAAGAACTAAGCAAATTAGTATGCTAATTAATAAGCATGTATTGGGGAGAATAAATGAGAAATGTACACAGCATTTCATCTCAATGGAGACATGCCTGATTAATTAAGAATACTGGTATTTTTATAAAAGTACTGATAGGGCACCAGGTATCTTACACATGATGGAGCTTCAGACAGCGGGTGGGGTTGTCTCCTCACCTCTGAGCACTTTAGGGACAAGCAGCAGTGGGTTTGCATCATGTCATGTGTTATGAGCAAGAAAGAGAGGGCTGGTGAAGGAATGCAAGAGAATCTCGCCAGCTGATCTGAGTGGATATTGCAGAGGATATTAAGCTTTTTTGGTTCTTGCAGGAGGTTCACAGCTGCCAATAAGTTGCCAGAGTGTGGCCCAGAAGCAGCCAGCAGACCCCTCTGTGACTCCCAGCGCAGACTCCCTCTTCCCTTTGTGATGCTGGGGGCTGACACAGCTTCCAGGGGCTGGTGTTGGACACAGCATTCATCAGCCCCAGCTGCCAGAGTAGATTTACACCCACATTATTGTTATTATTGATAATTACCATCATTATGGTGTGGTGACAGAGATGTGCTGAGCGCTTGGGCAGACTTTGGTGCTGGTTTCCCTGCAGAGGGGGGAAGCAGTGCAGTTCAGCACGTCGCTGTGACGTTCAGGTACCTAGAAATGATCAGGCATTTTAAAGACTGTATCAAGTCATGGGTTTAAATGTCTCTTGACTACACCAAGTTCCAGCTGACAGCTGCATTACTTTCAGAAATTATTATTTATTCCTGTTAGTTTTAAATGTGCAATGTTTCTGTTTGTGCTAAGTAACCACTACAATCTATTCTTCTGCTAGGGTGTGAATGAATGGAAACTTCTACACTGCTTCCACTGTGTCATAAATTCAGAGATGGGATTATTTTTTTTCTCTCCAATGACACCTTGTACCTGGGGTGTGTGCAGTGAAATTTATATCCAACAGCAAGTGTTAGTTTATCTTTTGCCATTGGTAGGATCCATGGGCTGCTATACTGCGTGCTCACCCAGCAGCATTTGTTCTTTCCAAGTCCCTAAGCTTTCTTGTAATCTCAGCTAACCCAAATAATTCTGTGAAATCTGAAAACCTATTACATCATTATTCACCCTCTTTCCAGATTATTAGGAAACTTTAGTTGAGATATTGAGTGTCCTGTTACTGAATTTTCTCCACATGAACAACTGCCTCTTTACCTGATGTGACAAATGGGATTAACTTGTGGCATATCTGTGTTGCTGTTGGGAAAGAAAGCTCTGTATGATGTGCCTAGAACAGCTTTTCTGCTACCCAAGGTTTAAATTGTGCTTAGAGTGAGAGGAGGGGGGGAATACTAAATACATACACTCAGTATCTCATTGAATATAGGTCCCTGGTTGTAAAATAGCTTGAGGCAGCTAAATGTTAACTTGCAGAATTTTTCAGAGCCGCTGAAAATGTGCCACCCTATGATGATTCTTTGCTGGATCACGTTTGGAAACAGCATTAGGAACCTACACAGCTTTGGCTTGCAGTGTTGGAAAACTGATGGCTTCTGGTCAAGTGAGAGTCAAAGACTGAAGAGCTGAAATCAGTACAAGAGCTCAGGACTGGAGAGGGTGATGATATCTGTCAAGAGGAGGGACTGATGCTCCACACCCTTTCTCAGCAGTGATTAAATCTATTAAACCTATATTTGCATCACCCTCTTCAAAAACATTTCAATCAGAGCTTTTAATTGTCATATTGAAAGCTGGATTTGCTCCACACACATAAATTTCCTCTTGATTTCATTTCTGATTTTGTCTGAGATTATCCATCCTTTATGTATGTTGTTTTTTTTTTAATCTAGTTTATTTTAATTTTTTTTGTTAGACTTTTAATGGTGGACAACAAAGACTGGAAGCCAGATGAGTGAGGAAAGTGTTATTATCTGAGGAGTACAAAGCACTTTGAAGGAAAGACCACTTTTCTCCATGGTAGTTTAAAGTCATCTTCTCACTAGTCTTATTAAGGCAGAATTGCTTTTAAAAATTGTCAGAGCAATTTAACTTATTGTAGCCTTTTGTTTTTCTTTCTCATTATTTTGATGTGTGTTTTTAGTGACATCTTGTCTGAAAATCTCCTCAAGATTTTTATATGCTTCTGTTATGAAAGATGAGAAGTAAAATTTGATGTTTGCAGCATGGCACCAATATGAGATAGATACAGTCATTGGACTTTATATATGTTTGTTTTTTTTCCTAACTGATGAAATTTCACTTGTTCATCCGTGCAACAGCCCCATCCCCAGGACTTTCTGAACAGGCAGGCTGTGTATGGCTCTAGTGCGATATTCTCCATTGAGATAAGTGCTTCCTATGAAATTAGCAAATTAACATGAA